GAGTGGACTTTGGCTGCCTGTCTGTGGGGCCTCACCCACGCACTCAAAATATAATTTTATGCAGACACACACAAAATGGGTAATGGGTTTATTTTAAAAAAGGGAAAGGAAAAGGAACCAACTTAGGGAAAGAGAGAGGGCTACTGGAATACTTCACTAGCGCCTGCTTCTAGCTTGGAGCTCTAGTCCCAAACTAACCCTGCTAGCCCCAGTCACATGGCCTGAGAGCAGTTACTCCAGAGAGAGAGAACCGTTACCTCTCTGTAGTGTGTCAGTTGGAAAACCGCTCACTATTTATCCCCCAAAGTCCCAGAATGCCTGCTTAGCTCCGCCCTTGGGTTCTCACAGTTCTCTCCTTGGTACTGCTGGGAGTTGTAGTTTTTCAATCACTGGAGTAAGGGGTGGAATCCAGAAAGCTGGAATAAGGGGTGGAATCCACAGGACTCTGCTGAGTTCTTTTAGGACATCCTTCCCCTTGACAATTGCGCAATGTATACAAAACATCGCATAGCATGCCTTAAAGATACACACCTTTTTGTCACTTATACCCCAATAAAGCTGAAAAATGAAAAGAATTGTACAAGCATACAACAATGAATTAGAAGAAGTTAATTAAACTACCGGTTTATTATCAAGTGCAAAGCATTCATCACTTGGTGGACATCAGTCAGTTAACCAGACTAAGGCATAGATTCATGGCAAAGAACATATTTGCTAATATCATAGTGTTAAGGGGAAGGATGTCCTAAAGAAATTCTGCAGTTTTGTGGACTCCACCCCTACTCCAGCTTTCTGGATTTTACTCCCTACTCCAGTGGTAGGAAAACTTCAACTCCCAGCAGCACCAAGGGGAGAACTGCGAGGACCCAAGGGCAGAGCTAAGCATCATTCTGGGACTTTGGGGAATAAATAGAGAGCAGTTTCCCAACTGTCGCTCTGGAGAGGTAACAGATCTCCTTCTGGAGCAAGAGGTAACAGATCTCTTTTTGGAGCAACGGCTCTCGGGGCTCTCAGGCTGTAGGACTGGGGGCTAACAGTGTTAGTTTGGAACTAGAGCTCTAAGTTAGCTGAACTGGTAAGATATTCCAGTTACTTTGTATCCCTCTCACTTTCCCTAGGTTGTTTCCTCTTCCTTTCCCCTTTTTGTAAATAGCCCATTACCCCTCATGTGTGTGCCTACAGAAAATTACATTTTAGGCCAGCCGGAGAGGCCCCACAGATAGGCAGCCCAAGCCCACTCTGGGCTACCATGTAACAATAGGAGAGGAGGAGGGACAGCTGCCCAAGTATCTGCTCCCCTTCCTAAGGCAGTTAGGACTTTTATAGGATTAAAGTATTTGGACAGGTGGAGGTGGGAGCAGGGTGGAACGTGCAGGATCTTGGTTGCTTAGTTTCATCACCAGATCATGCCTCTTCATGGGCTGTGTTTCCAGAAAACAGTGGCCAAGTACCTACCTGGTTGAGAATGTTATTATGTAAATGGATGTTAATGAACTGAGGGCAAGACTGGATTTTCAAGGACCTTCTCTGTGAGTGCTGGTTTAACTAGTTTGAGCCTCAACTTCAGGTCTTCAGTTAAACCATTTCAAATAGCTCTAAGGCTTTGTCCTGTTGATGCAAGTTTGCTTTGTAAACTCACTGGGTAATAGTCTCAATACCCTGAAGTGTTAGTGCTATTCAGAAATGACAACAAAGATTCCCGCAGAAAAATAGCATGATGTTGAGTCACAAATAAGAAATGATATCAAAAGTGGTGTTTATATTAAGTTTGGAGATTTGTGTAACCCATTCTAGGATAGAATACCAAGACCAACTGGTTATGACCAGTCTTGCATAATCAGACTGCATAATCAGTCCTGGATAAGTAGCCCAGAAGAAAGAACTGGACACAACTTTTGATGTCGGGAAGGCCACTGGGTATGAAAACAATCACAACCACACCACTACTACCTTGACCGACCACCACTGCCAGCATCACTGCCATCACCAACCCTGGTATTGTGACCACCCAGCATACAGGCCAGCAGCAACAGAGGCTGCCTTCCCTCCTCTAGCCAGGGACAAGAAATCAGATGCTACCTCTTAAAATTAATTCTTTCAATTGACTAGAACAAAATATATTGCTGTTTTATACAGAAATGCTCTCTAGTGAAAGAAGTATATAATGACAAAGGGAATGTGTTTTAAATGAAAAATTGGCATGCCAGGCTACTTTGCCTGTAGGTATGAAACTGATTCATATTCTTAAAACCACATCTTAAAGCTTCTCTCTTGGCAACTCCGATTATTCTTACAATGGGTAGGGGAATTGTAGAGAGTATTTATCTTGATTCACTTTGCAAAATGATTTAAGAAAGAAAGCTGGTGAATTCTACAGCACACAGGCAAAAAAAAATATATAGGTAAATACCATAATGTAAGCAATCTGTCCACATGACACCACAGGACTACAAACTAATGAAAAACAAAAGAAAATGCATTGAATTCTGCATCAGTACTCCTTGAATGCTGATTCAAAGAGCTCTCCAAGATATGAGACCTTGGTCAACTTATTTGAATAAAATGGAAAGAATAAGGTCAAACCATCTGTGAGGATTAAATGTAACTTTACCCCTTTATGGCAAGTCTGATTCTTAGTTCACAACTCATGACTCCAAAAAATAGGAATTCTATTTTTCATAGTTAATTTCTAACTCTGGCCTTTATTCTTACTGTTTGGTCCCATTTAATTTATTAAATCTTGTGGGCCCTAGAATGTATGCAAGGTACAGTAGTATTTTCATAATACTGTGGTTTGAAAAAGGCATACATGTTCTTTTAAAGGTTAAGAGTGTTGCAGGCCATAAGGATTCTTGGGTTATATATACATGAATAACCTGACCTGATACCAGCTGCCAACAAAAGCTAAGGACATACCCAGGTAAAGGTAAGTCTCTGCCCTTCTCCCTGGGGCAGCCTGGCATAACAAGATATGCTGGAAGCCTGTTCCATTGTGGCTGCATCTACAGTAAACATCCAGAGGAACTTTTCTCCCCACCTCCTGACAACCAATACACACCTTACTCCAACTTGGGGTAGAGAGCAGTGTAACCTGTGTGCTTTCATGGGCTAGAGACCTACCTTCTTTCCCTTCCCACTCACATCTACTGAGTCTGTACTCTCTGTGTATGTTATTTCATGTTTACACATCAGTAACAAAGGAATTTTAAGTACTTTACCCAAGCCACAGAAAAATCCAGCAAGAACAACTTGTACTATTGTTACCATTTTGCAGATGAAGAAGCTAAGGCTGAGAAGTCACCTGTTTTGATTAGGGTCAACTGGCCTCTAAGATTCATACCCCACAGCTTCAGATTCTGCTTATTTTCCACATCATCGCATAGCTTCTCAGAACCCCGAAATACATCCTGTACTTGGTCAATCAGTTACCAGATTCCACTCTCCCAAAATAAACTTTCACACACCAGCTCTCTTTACCTCACCCTAAATCAAATACTGTATCTTCACCTTTAATATCTCACACCTCCACCCCACTTCATCACGTGTCTCTTCTTACAATCACACTTTGCTCATACCTCTCCTCTCTCAAAAGAAATTGAATGTTCCCTTTGCCTGAGGGTTATGCCCCTAAGCTGGAGCAATGTGTCCCTAAGATCAGAGCTCTCCTCCCTTTCTAGCCTTATCTCTCTGTGCATCACCTACAGGAAACCACACTCTAATTTGGCCTAGTGTCACTACCTAACCTTTCGTAATACTTCCTTCTCTGGGACCTTACTTTGTTACTTCTTCTCACTCTGAGCTCCATGCCATTCGTTTCGAAATTCTGTGTAGCCTAAACATATAACTCAAACTTGAATGTCTTCTAAAATCCTTCCCTGCTTGAAGTAGTAGAACTTTCACTTATATATTCCATATATGACTCAGTAATAATTTCTTCTGCCAGCCTGTAAGTTTCAGGAGGTCCAACTCTGTCATAGACATCTTTGTATCGCTCTAATATCTGGCACAGTGCTCTGAACACAGCAAGTACACACAGTGTGTAAAGTGCTTTGATCAAATGAGTACCACTAACCCACACAAACATGCAGCTAGATTCCAAAATGAAGGATAATCATGTACACACACACACACAATACCATAAATTTATTATGATACACAGAGAAACACAAACCCAAACTTTGACAATATCTGTTTTCCAGTCTTTAAAAATTTAATAGAAATAAAAGGTAACTGAAGAAATGTAACCTCATAATTTCGTAATTTATGAAACAATGTAGTCTACTTAATTAAGACTGTCAAATGGCAATGTCCCATAGATAATTAAAATGTTGTAGCTTTATTTATTTCTAACAGATTCTCAAGGATTCAAAGAGCTTTATGTAATAAGCCAGGTACTCTAACTAGGCTCATCATGTATTGGGAAAGTAAATCCAAATGCAAGGGAGTGCTGGAAAAGTGGCGTAAAATCCCAGCAGAAAGTCTCTATGTGACCACAGAGACTTTAAGAAAACATTATCGCTGTATGTCTCATATTCTGTGATATTCATGATGATGTACTATGTAGTTGGAAGGTACATCTGCTCATTGTGATTTCTGTTCATATAACATCTCAGCTCTCCATTTTTATTCCTAGAAGTTAGAATGTGGTTTCATCACATACTGCTGTTAATGCATAGACAAGTCAAACTTTTTGTTTTCTTGTGAGTCAAACATTTTAAAGATTATGGGGAAGTTAAAAGAAGTTGTACAATGAAATCTGGAAAGTACATGAGAAAAGAAATCAAACTCTCCTATTTTTCTGTCCTTTTTGCTTTCTTTGGGTCTTTACCCTACTTGCATCTTTGGGAATTGTGAGTGTATATAACGGTACCCACCACACCTCCTCAAGTTGGATTTGAAGGACAAAGCAGAAAAACACTGAAGAAACTCTGAGGCCCTCTCAGAAAAATAAAACAGAGCTGCTATTTCTTTTAGTTCTTCTTTGCCATTCTTAGTCTTCATTTAAAAATATATGAAATTCTAACTATTTATCCAACCCTCGTCTCAGGTAGGAAGCAAGTCAAATCACTAATGGTCAAATAAAGGCAGGTAGCCATACGGCTGGTGAGTGTGAAGAGAAAAGGCTGTGGTATGACTTAGCAAGTGGTGAGAAGACACCCAAGAGGAGGTTGTGGTGAGTGAGATCTCCAGCTTTGTAGTACAATGAGCATTATTGTGTGTTATGTAGTGAGGGGGGCATAAGTACCAATAGTTTGAAGTCATACAAACTTGAGTAGTATTTCAAAATTGAGGGAAAATAGCAATAGGTAAAATTCAGACATTTTCAAATATTGTCATTTCATGAACAAAACTCTATTTGACCAATAGTTTTGATTATCCAACAAGAAAAATGTCAGAATGAGAGAATATTAGAAAACAATTTTAAATAAATTAATCCCTTGCAAAATCAATCCAGACCTTTACTACATAGTTTATAGGCATGAAAAAAGAAATGTAGACTGTTAATGAATTCATAATTTTCATGCAGTGTGCCTATAGCAGTAACCATTATGGAGTGCCTCTGTCTTTCTCTTTATTGAGAGAGATCTCCATAAAAACAAATCGTCCCTGTCTTACCTCTGTTCCACCATTTGTCTCCTACTGAATCACAAGACACTGTAACCTATCTCTGGAAACTGTGGACCCAACTCTGAAGCATGGGGTGATCCATAATCTTTTAGGATTCAAGAGAACCTACAATGTGCTAATGATATGAACACTTACATGTCTAACAATTAATATTAACCAAAATAAACTGTGACAATTGCGAAAGTGACATTATGTATTAATACAACAGCAAATTTTCCAACTGAATTAGAGTACTTTTCCATTAAGAAATTTACTTCTTTCTAGATGTATGCAAAGTTAGTTGCAAAACAGTATTTAACAGTATTTAAGCCATCAGGAAAAAAATTACCTTGTTTTCTAAATATTAACTTGACCTTCATGTCAAGTGCATCAAGTATTAACCCAAGTACTAACTGCAAGGACTGTTACTTTTAAACAGTTCATACAACAAAAGCATTGTGATAAATTCTTAACAGTAAAACTGGTGGTGGCTATTCAAGAGGTCTTTAAAAATTATCTTTAGTGATTCTAAAGGATAGCTTATCAAAAACTTACTTGATTGCACCTGTGTTAGCACATTAGCATGGAAAATAAGCTTTAGAGGACTACAGTATCTTCTGAATATGGTGAATATGCAATAAAACTGGAGTCCAGAGTTAGAAGTTTCTAGACTTGGCGGAAGGAATCTAGTGTACTGCATGGATCTCTGTCGGTGCTCAAAATATCTAGAGATATTTTTCATCTATACCAGACTTCCTCGAAGAGTACTTCCTGTTTCACATCCTCCCTTCACTGTAATAAGATGTATTAAGTAAATCAAGGTTTGGTTTAAAAACAACTGAAAGACTGACTGTTCAGGGATCTAATAATCACAGGACTTGGTTATTTGGAAGCACTGAACCCTCAGATATCAGAAACCCCAATAACTTATCATAAAAATACAAGCTTTTGATTTTGAAAAATATACAAAATATGCAATGCCTTGTGGAAATCTTTCCTGATTGTCAAGGAAGACTAGATATCAGTCTCATTAATAGTTTCATAGTGTGCTTGAGTTTTAGTGTTCTTTGTTTTTGTAGGTTCCATTTTTCACAGTTTTGGGCAGCCTTTGACCTTTGGTATAAGCACGGTACCAAAAATGAAGAAAGAGCAGCAAAAAGATGCACCCATAACTCATAATGATGTACAGAAAGATTGGAAACTGGTACTTGCAGTCCTCCATGAAAAAAAACTGGCCTATGTGGATGGTGACGATAACAAACTGGACCTAAAAGATGAAAAAAAAAGTTCAGATATGGGAAATCATGATGGAGCAATTATCGAATGCCTCTCTGCCTGCTTATGTTTATGAACTTTCCAACCATATTAGGCTACCACAACTGGGCAGGGAATTTTGTCTTGCAGTCTTGCCTCCATGGGGTGATAGCAGGTAGAACTATGTCAAACTGAGTGGGAATCTGAAGTCACTCTTCATGCCTGAGAAACTGCACAACTCTAGGGTCCTCACTTTAATGTGCCTGGAACTGTGCAGTGCAGTGGCACTTTCATGTTTAAAGAACATTCAGAGTAGGTATTGGTGCAAGTCTGAACTGAGTTCTTGTCACTGGAGAAATGTATCAGGACCACTGCTAGGATAGTTTTGATTTCAATGTTTTATCCTGTAGTTACACCAGATGTTTTAATTTGGGGAAAATAAAAACAATGTTTTAGGAGCCCTTGCAATTGGTATGAGACAAAGAAGTTCAGAGTCCTTATGTCTATCGTTTGTCCACTACTATTATAGATAAAAATATATTCTTGCCAACAACAGCAAAGATTTGCAAGGATGAGACAGCATTGGCGACCCTCTTTGTGATGGTAAAGGACTTTGTGTCCAACACTTCCCATACAATCCTAGAGGTATACTTTTTAGGCTGGAGTCCAGATTTTCAGGATGTCTCTTTTCTGATTAAAAGGCAAAATGTATTCTGTGGAATTTTTAGAAAAGTAAAAATCTATTAAATATAACAACTACAATTTACCCATTTAAAACTATAGTTAAGGTTTCACAGCTTTTTAAAATATCATCATCAACTTTCCTTGCATTATTTTAAGAAACTTTTATGACATCTGTGTACACTAATTGCAATTATTCCTCCCATTTTGCAGATGTGGAAATGAAACCACAGAGAAAGTAAGCAAGATCATCAATATTCTATGCTGATGTGTTTGTATATAAGACATCTTTGAAGTATCAATAAGCAAATAGCCATCTTTTTTTTTCTCTCCATATGTCTTCTCAACATTATTAAAAAGTTTTTAGGCCCTCCCTGGTGGCACAGAGGGTTAAAGCCCAGCACTAAGAAGCTAAAACCACTTCAGCATGAGTCTGATCCCTGCCCCAGAGGTGATCCATATGGCACAGCAGACCTCTCCTGACCGCTCGCTGCTCCCCTCAGCAGTGTACTTCACCCATCTGCCTGTTCTGCTTCCCACTCTGTCTCTGGTGAATATTCTCACCGCGCCTGCACCTCTGGCCTGTCCCCCAGTTCTATATGCATAAATAAATAGATCTTTAAAAAAAGTTTTGATAACATTTATGAAATAAAAAAAGCCCTACTACTGTATATGCAATATAAAGCTAACCATGTAAAAGACATACATATAAATGCATAAAAAAGAAAAACTAATGGGAAAAAGTTAAAATATCATCACGATTATTTCTGGGTGGTGCTATTATTTTTCTTAACCAGATTTTCTAATTTCTCTGAAATGAGCTCATATTACCTTACAGTCAGAAAAAGTACTTAAAAAGTAAAGTGCTGTGAATTGAGTAGAAAAAAAAATGTACAAAATGATGTAAAAATAAACTTTTGTAATAAAAAATGGAAAAAAAAGTAAAGCACTGTAAATTTTCATAACTATATAATATTTCAACATAAGAGCTAAAACAATTTATTTCACCATTTCATTAGATTATCATTTAGAGTGTTGTCAGTCTTGGATAAAATTAATAAGAATACTCTGATATCAGTTTAATACACTTACAGTCTAAAATGTCAGTCTCATTTGAGAGAATACATTATATGATATGTTAAATTTCATTTAACAAGTTGTATAATTTTACAACTTGTTACAACAGGTTATTTACACCTAAATTCACAGGTTTCCCTAAGGGTTATTGGCAGAATATGACACCAATTTATTATAGATTGTAAATCCATAAATATGATGATAGAATTAATTTTTTAATAGGCAACAATAACACTTCAATCAAATTACCCTCTCAAAGCCATAGCTATTCTTCAAAAAATTATATGCTATATAATTTTATGGCTAATGCTTAGGAGGTATTAGTAGGCAAAAATTGAGTGCCTTTGCTCTTCTGAACATTATTTGAGAACAGAATTCAAATTTGTACATACATATATATTGGTCTATGACCACTCTATCCTATAATCCTGGAAATACTTTGGTGAGTTTGAATAAAAGTAGACTCATAAATGTTAGAACTAGAAAGGCAGGTACACAGTGAGTCTCATAATTCCATTAAAGTTATATTCTGTTAAGGTCATTTAGATCTAAGATATAAAAATTCTCACTTCTAATTTAATGTTATGCCTATTAAGAGTTACATAATTTTAGGCCTTCCAGGTGGTGCAGCGGGATAAGGCACAGCACTGAGAAGCTAAAGCCACTTCCGCATGAGTTTGATCCCGCCTGTTCGGGAGGCGACCACATGGCGCAGCAGACCTCTCCTGACCCGCCCGCTGCTCCCCTCAGCAGTGTACTTCGTCAATCTGCCTGTTCTGCTTCCCACTCTGTCTATGATGAATCCTATTACCACCCCTGCTCCTCTGGCCTGTACCCCAGCTCTGTATAAAAATAAATAAATCTTTAAAAAAAAAGTTACATAATTTTGTGATTATTTTAGTCATAAGTATACTTATAAAGATACATATGTTTAATTGTACAAGTCTCTTGCTCCTAAGTATACTCTGTTTTCAATGATTTCCTGACAAAGAATAACATAGAAAGGAAAATGATAGGATGAAAGACATGGCTGTAAGACCTATAACCATAAAATAAAAGAGGCAATACAATCCACTACATTGTCCACAGTGATGTCTTCAGGTCTAGACGCAGCAGCTAGCAAGACTACATCACACTAAAAGCTTCTATACAGCAAAAGAAACTCATTAAAAAGACACCCTCTGAATGGGAGAAAATATTTGTATATCACACATCTCACATATGGTTAATATCCAAGATTTATAACAAATTCATACAATTCAACTACACCAAAATAACCCAATCAGTAAATGGACAGAAGATATGAATAGACACATCACTAAAGAAGACATACAGATGGCCAACAGGTGAATGAAAAAATGTTCCTTATCACTTCCTATTAGGGAAATGCAAGCAAAAACATGAGGAGAGATATCACCTAATACCTGTGAAAATGGTCCATATCAAAAAAAAAAAAAAAACCAGAAACAAAAAAGTATTGATGAGGGTGTGGAGAAAAAGAAACCCTCCTACACTATTGGTGGGAATGTAAACTCACCCAGTTCATACAGAAAAAAGTATGGAGGCGTCTCAAAATATTAAAAATAGATCAGCATATGATCCAGTAGTTCCACTCTAAGGTATCTATGCCAGGAATATAAAAACACAAAGTTTGAAAAGACAAAGGCATATTCATGTTTATTACAACTATTTACAATAGCTAAGATACAGAAACAAAGTCCCCAACACACACATGAAGAAGTGGCACATATAAACAGTGGAGGACTACTAAGCTATAAAGATGACACAGTCTCACCATTTGCAACCACACTGATGAAACTGGAAAGGATAATGCAAAACAAAATAAGAGAAGGAGAAAGACAAAGATTAAATGCATTCACTCGTGTAGAATGTAAGAAACAAAGGAAAGTAACAGCACGACCAAACTGAAACCCTTGGATTCTGACTACAGAACTGACATTATCAGAAAGAGAGAGGGGATGGGAGGAAAAGGGAGAGTGAAACAGTGGATTGTGATAAAGCATTATTGATTATTTGATGATCTGTGTGGAATGGTAAACACACATTTGAAGAGGCATGAATCTCTACTCCATGCGGGCTCAGACACTTTATATTGTTTTACAAACTTTTCTTTCCTTTGTATTCTCACTCATAGGGAAGGCAAATAACTGTAGCTTCCTGTTGGGTTTTATGGAAAATTAATTACTTACAAGTTGCAATGATGTCAAATATTTTTTCCACCACAAATACTTCTGGTAGGCTGGTCCCAATGCACATAGTCCATAGTAGGAATACATGACTACATGTACAGCTGTGTTTAGAAAGGCATGGAATGTTCCCAAACCACCTGGAAAATAAAATTATTGGAAAATAGGGAAATAGTTCCTTAAAAGAAGGTATTTTTTGTCAAAACATATTTTAACATAATGACTTCTTTAATTTTAGTAGGAAAAGTAAGTGAAATATAAGTCTTGTTAAACAATCATCAAATTTAGTAAAATATAACATACAAATCCTAGAAAATAATCTAGTAAGTCTTTATCTTGTTATAGTTTAACCTTAAGATAGTCTTGTGATTTGGGTTTTATTTGAGAAAATTGAGTAACTTTTTAAATGCTGAACAATAGCAATCACCTTCATTTTTAGTGAGGGGTTAGCATATATAAAGAACACAAAATATATTGGTCTCAAGTGTACAACTTAATTTTTTCACAAAAGCATACACTACCAAGATAAAGAATATTTGCAACACCATATAAGGTTCCCATATCCTTTGTCCAAGAATGTGCCTCTCCCAATGTAAGCATTTATTGTGACTTCTACCATCAATACTTAGTTTTATTTGTAATTAAACTTCATATTAATAGAATTGCACAGTATATTCTTATCTGTGTCTATTTCTTTTCAACCAATGTAATATTCTTAAGTTCCATCCATGTTACATAAATGTAGGTGTATTAGTAATTTACTGTTTTATTGCTAGAGTATTTATATGAATTTGCACTGTTTCCTATGTGGGCTATTATGAATAAAGTCATTTTAATAATTTTTATACTTGAAATTCATTTTTCCACTCTCAGAAATTTTCAATAAATATTTTTAGTGCCACAAGATTTTGGTAGTAAAACTACTGGCTTTCATTTTAATAAACTGTTGTTTTTTTATTAAGTAGGTATTTATTAATTGCTAACCCATCTTTGTTTACTACTTCCTCTTGATTACTGTGAAATGAGCATTCCTATTTTGGTTTTCCTCTTCTAATTTCACCACTTCTCTAAACGATAACCTTCAATTTAGAAAAGAAGCAAGAACCCTGGAGGAATGTAATCAACGATCATTTCAGCTGTCATTAGCTGGACCAGGATCACAGCAGGAGATGAGTTAATTCGTCTCATGGTGGTATAAAAAATTAAAATTCTTCCCTAGCATCTCTTTCCTAAGAGACATAATCTAGAAGAATACAAAGATTCTTTGTATGTAGCCTGATTCAGCTTAGTAAAGTTCACCAGGAGATTAAAATTTTTTAAAATAATTTATTTTCTTTAGTCCAGTATTCTTTAATTCCAGAAATAAAGTAAAACCTTACAAATTTGGGCTAATCATAGTAGAAGGAGTGAAATAATAAATTATAAAATGTTTAATGCAAAATACAAATTTATCACTTCTAACGAAATAATCTCAAGAAAAAACTCAAAAGTTACGGTGTTGCTTTGGCAGCACATACACTAAACTTGAAATGACACAGGGTTAGCATGATCCCTGCACATTGGTGACATACAAATTCATAAAACATTTCATATTTTGAAGCATATTTTAATGTAATAAAAGCCATATGTGATAAACCCACAGCTGGTATCATTCTCAATAGTGAAAAGCTGAAAGCCTTCCCACTAAGATATGCACAAGTAAAAGGTGTCCTCTCTTACAATTCAACATAGTATTAGAAGTCCCAGCTAGAGCAATTAGTCAAGAAAACAATTAAACAGAATCCAAATTGGGATAGAAAAGTAAAGCTATCATTGTTTGTAGATGACATGATAATATACATAAAGAAACCCAAAGACTACACAGAAAATCAAATTGTAACAATAAACCAGTTCAGCAAAATGGCAGGATACAAAATCAATGCATAATAACCAGTTGCCTTCCTATAATGAACTAGAAGAAAAAGAAATTAAGAAAGCCATCCATTTATAATTTCACACAGAAAAAAAAATTAAATTCCTGGGGATAAACCTAACAAAGGAGGTGAAGGACCTTTGCAAGGAAAACTATAAAACATTCTTTTAAAAAGTAGATGGGGCTCTCCCTGGTGGCACAATGGGTTAAAGCACCGCATTATGAAGCTCTCCGAAGCCATTACAGCACAAGTTCAATCCTCAGCTGGGAGCTGACCCACATGGCTTGGCATTCCTCTCCTGACCCATCCACTGCTCCCTTTAGCAGTTTCCTTTGTTGGTCTCCCTGCTCTGCTCCCCACTCTGTCTCTGGTGAATCTTCTCACCCTCCCTCCCTACACCTCTGGCCTGTACCCCAGTTCTGTAAGCATAAATAAATAAATCTTAAAAAAAAAAAAAGATGAAACAAAGAAATGGAAATATATCCTCTGCTCATGGATAGGAAGAATCAACATTGTCAAAATAGCCATTCTACCCAAAGCAATTTATACATTTAATGCAATCACAATGATCTTCTTTAAAGAGATAGAATAAGATTATTGAGCTTCATTGTGGAACCACAGAAAACCCTGAACAGCTAGAGCCCAACTAAAAAGGGAGGAAATTATAGTATCACACTTCCAGACTTCAAACTATAATTATAAAACCACAATAATTAAAATAGCATGGTATTAGAATAAAAACAAATGCAGAAACCACTGGAATAGAAATAAGAGGCCAGAAATAAAACTACCCATTTATGGACAACTATATGACAAAAGAGTAAAAGTATATACATGGAAACAAGTAATGCCTCTTTAATAAATGGTTCTGGGAATATTGGATTACCACATGCAGAAGAGGAAAATAGATCACCATCTAAACCTATATGCAAAAGTCAACTCTAAATGGATAAAATACTTGGACCTAAGATCTGAAACTATAAAATATATAGAAGAAAACTTAGGTAAAGCACTCCATGATATAAACTTCAGAAACACCTTTGCAGATTCATCTTAAGCAGCAAGGAAAACAAAGGAGAAGATAAGCTTGGACTATGTAAAACTAAAACACTTTTGTACAGCAAAAGAAACAGTGAACAAAACACAGAGCCACCCTACTAAATGGGAAAAAATGTTTGCAAACCCTACATCTGATAAGGGATTGATATAGGAGATACAAAGAACTTATTCAACTTTACAAAAAGAAAACAATGAACCCAATCCAAAAAATGAGCAGAAAAGATAAATAGGCACTTCTCCAAAGAAGACATGCAGATGGCCAACAGACACAGGAAAAATGCTTATCATCTCTTATCATCAGAGATAAATGCAATCAAAACCACAATGAGATACCACTTTACATCTGTGAAAAAGGCCCATATCAAAAAGCCTACAAGCAAGTGTGGGCAAGGATGTGGAGAAAAAGGAATCTTCTTACAGTCTTGGTGGGAATGTAGATTGGCCCAGCTCCTATGAAAAGAAAGTTCTCAAAAGACTGAAAATGGATCTATCATAGGACTCAACTTTTCCACTTCCAGGAATCATTCCAAATAGCACAACAACAAAAATAGCACAAAAACAGTAATTCAAAAGGAAATCTGCACTCCTATGTTTATAGCAGCACTATTTACAATAGTTAAGATATGAAAACAACCTACATGTCCCAGAACAAATGACTAGCTCAAGAAGAGGTGGTGTGTGTACACAATGGAATACTACTCAGCAATCAAAAAAGATAAGTGCATGCCATTTGAGGCAACACAGATGGAGCTGGAAGGGATAATGAAAAATGAAGTGAGCCAGAAGGAAAAAAGATAAATAGTAGATATTTTTTACTTGTATGTGGAGTCTAGAGAAACCAAACAAAGAATCAGAAAAAGACTAACTGACCCTTGAAAGCACACTATATCTGAGACATTCAGGGAGAGAAGAAGAGGAGGGAGTGTATAGAACAGACAGGAAGAGAGAGGACAGTGGAGTATGGTGGAAGACTGTGGTACTTTGGAGGTGAGAAAACTATGATGACTGCACCTGAGAGAAGAAATGCTATATTGTGCCAAAATAAATAAGGCTGTATAATAAACAAATGTTGTTACATAGTGACACTAATAACGTTTTAATGATCGTTCATAATTCCAGCAATTCTAAATACTTCAAGGTACTACCACTACTAAAGTATTCCCTTAAAGTAATCTGTTTTAAATAATTATTTTCAGGTACTTTAAATATTCCCCTCAAAGTCTCATTAATGCTGTACTACTTATTCTTCATAAACTTTCCTCTCCTGAACAGTGTAAATCAACCTACAGCCAATCTTTAAATATCACAAACTTCAAGTCAGAAGAAACTGAGTTAATGAAGCTTATTAAAAACTTTATTTACATTTGAAGTAGTCTAATTTCCCAGAGAAGCTACAATAAATAAATGGCAGTGGTATGAACACAGGTTTCCAGGGTAATTTAAAAATAGAATACTTTTTTTTATAGTTAGGAAACAAGCTGCTTAATTTGGGTACAAGTCAGATACTGCTCAATTCCACATGTGTCTCACAATTAGGAAACTATTTCAGTTTTTTTTTAAAGATTTATTTATTTATTCATACAGAACTGGGGTACAGGCCAGAGATGCGGAGGGTGAGAGGATTCACCAGAGACAGAGCGGGGAGCAGAACAGGCAGATCGAGGAAGTACACTGCTGAGGGGAGCAGCGAGGGGTCAGGAGAGGTCTGCCGTGCCATGTGAATCTCCTCCGGGGCAGGCAGGGATCGAACTCATGTGGAAGTGGCTTAAGCTTCTTGGTGCTGTGCTTTAACCCGCTGCGCCACCAGGGAGGGCCCAGGAAACTATTTCAGTTTTGTTTTTTTTTTAAAGATTTATTTATTTGTTCATACAGAACTGGGGTACAGGCCAGAGGCTCAGGGGTGGCGAGAGGCTTCACCAGAGACAGAGTGGGGAGCAGAACAGGCAGATCTACGAAGTACACTGCTGAGGGGAACAGCGGGCGGGTCAGGAGAGGTCTGCCACGCCATGTGGTCACCTCCGGGGCAGGCGGGAATCGAACTCATGCAGAAGTGGCTTTAGCTTCTCAGTGCTGTGCTTTAACCCGCTGCGCCACCAGGGAGGGCCGAAACTATTTCAGTTTTTAAAAAATAATTAATGAGTTCATTTTTAACTGCGGTAACACTGGGGTATCCCCATCAGGTATTACCACCACAGTGTACCCACCACCACCTTGCCCATACTCTGCACCACAGACCATTGTGCCTCCCTCCTCCTCCAGCCCTTCTCCCCCCTTATGTCTCAGTTCTGTAGTCAGCTATCAAGGCTTATTTTTTCAGCTTGTCTTTTATCTGACTATTTTGTTGTTTTATAGTCCACATGTTGCCGAGCTATATCACAGCCTTTTCCTCTAAGATACCTCTTCCTTCTTTGGTAGAAGAATTTTTATTTTCCACTCAGAAACGCGCACCGTTTAGATATATGGTTGATTTACACTGAAACAAGGAACCAATGGACAGGAATTAGCTAGGAGGGTCTGGTAAGGGTTACTGATTAAAATAAGCTATCAAATAGAAATGACTTGCTTATTATTTTTATGATTACTTTCAGATAAGTTATTTTAATGTTCACAGACCAATCACATTTTAATGAATAATGCTTTTCATATCCCCTTTGGTAAACTTTCTAATAAAGCTTTTCTAAGTTTGCTTTCTCTTTTATGATAACAGGTCTGAAAAAGCAAATATTTCAAAATGAATTATAATTAGTACCACCATACTTTGCCCCTTTGGTTTGGAAAAAATAAAGGAATCACCTGGGTAATTATCACAATTCTCTCTATCTCTAGAAGGGAGTTATGCATTATTAATGTAAAAATCTGCCACAACAACATTTCCTTTTTCAAAAGAAAAGCTGGATTGCTATTATCCACAGAGGAGTACTACAGGCAAACAGGAAATTAAATGCTAGATAGAGATCAGTTATGCTCCAGCTTTTGCAAAGCAGTTCAAAATGGACAGTTCCAATGTAGGAATAGAAGCCAACACCAAAACGCATTTCTAGACACCTGTGCCCTTCTTGCTGCATTTGTGACGGTAGAGATCAGGTAGACTGTACACGTGTACGCCAGATTCTACACATGAGACTTAACAGAAATGCCAACTCATGGTACACTTGAGAGAGATGTTGTTATTTTCTTCTATTTACATTTTGTAAAATGGTGGGACATGGAGGTGGGGTTTAAGTACAGATAAAAACACCACCGCAAGCTGCTCAAAAGTCCAAAACTAAGGTAACATTGAAAAATGAAGGCATTATCATAACATTAAATTTTTCATTATTGAAAACCTTGCAAGCTAGACTCTAAATGCACTAAAAAGTAGACATCAGAAAAATGTGCAACTCGATTCTTCAAATACACATTTTTGTTCTTATTGTACAGCAAACATATTCAATATGAAACATCAGAAAGTACAGAAAATTGTGAAGGAGTGGAAAACAACTTTGTGTCAAAGTCTCTGAATCTCTAAATTTTGGGGAATTGGCTTCCAATGTTTTTACTGTTTCTATTTATTTTTCAGTGTTATTCTATAGTACTCTAATCTCATGGAAAAAAAATTTGCATAAAGGCTAAGGCTGTATGACAGCACTACTTTTAGCATGTTTAAAGATAGAATAGTCATCATTTCTGATAATATAGATGTCAAGTTGCTTAACAGTGAAGAGGAACTAAATACTTCTTAACAACATTTGTATTTCACAATTACATACACACACGAAATCATGACCATTTTATTCGTGGATGTTTAGGAATTTTCCAATTTTTCATCAACACAAGGTATCAATACATAGCACTAGCAAGCCCACTTAGAGGCACAATGTCCAATTGAAGGAAAATAAAAAACATAAAAAGTACAGTAAAATAGTGGAGCTAAAATTATATAGCTAACCTTGATTTGTGGAGTGGACACAAATGAGACTCTTGTTATCATATAAGTTACCATTTTATGTTAACTTAAGTGATAAGGAAAATATAGCTGTATTTACTTTCAAAGTCTTTAACAAATAAATGCCCCCTTTTGGACATGGAGAGATTACATACTATTAAATCCAATGACTGTGGGCTCCTGTAGGGACAGACCTTGGACTCGTGCAGATCCTGGCACCCTCTTTCTGCTGCCTATGCTCTCATAATGGAGGTTTTCCCCTGCCTGCAGAGTCTAATGCTTAAGCAAGAGTCCCTCAGTTGTGGTTCTTCTTTTCTTTTAGTCTTACCGGGTCAGAATGCCAAACAGAGGTGAATTACCCACAGAAATTATAAAGCTTTGTCTAATATGGGCCATAGTTCCACTTAGCAACTTCTTAAAGGTCAGAAGCTAGCTTATAATTAAATCCCCCAACTAACTTGCTGATAAGAACATGTCCTTGGGGTGGGTGACGTGGTGGGAGAACTACCGGGACTACACCAGAGGGGAGAAATCAAATACGGTCCAAAACTAACAAAGATGTAAGAAAATAAATAAATAAGAGTATGTCCTTGGGTATACCACTTTTTTATAGCTTTATGACTAGCAAAATTTCTTAATGCCCATTTCCCCAATTCTAGATGTTCAGAAGCATAAAACTAAAACCAAAGAAAAGACCCTGTTTCCCAGGCTTTTGATTTAAACTACCTTTTACCTAAAATATCAAAACATCCTTTAATATGCTGGGATGTCCAGAAAAGTTCAGCCAACTATAATTTGACAAATCTTGAAAGAGTTGCTAGGAGTTAGGGTGTGAATTACTTATTGCCAATTTGAAAGGAAAGAAGGCATGGAATTTGAGAAAAACACCCTAACTTCCTCTAGAGGAAATTAACTTAAAGAAAATATACCTAGTCATTTTCCAAAATGACTATTTATTTATCCAACGCTTTTATCATTTCATTTATTTTGTTGTTGTTGTTGTTTGTTATTTAAAGACATTTAATAGAACTTTTTGGGAGTAGATTAAAATCCAAACATCAGCGTACATGTAGAAGACTCTGGCAGAGGGAGCTGGCTAAGAGTCCCACGCTGATGCGTCAGGTAATAAGAAAGTCAGAAGTTCTGACTTTTTAAACTCACATTTAAGGATACAACTTGTGTTTATAAGAAACAGAAAGGTCATCATTGATAAAACATGATCCCAGCTCTCCCTTGGCTACCTGCAGCAAATTTGACTCCAAACCACCAGGTCCATGGCATGATGGTATGATGGAAGACATGCAGGAAAGTCACTTGGCTATTTTTCTTACGTAGAACAAAAAAGATCTGAAATAATTTAAAGAAAATCAAGTTCATATATAATCATATTAATTTATCTAGTATTTCTAGTATTACAATTATATTGGTAAAGTGCAAACTATTTCACATCATCATGTGCTTTGAAAGGGTTGCCTTATAGAATGCTCTGAAGCAGCTGATTCTCCAAGGGATGGCTCAAAAATCAAGCTGGTTAAAGATATTAGGAATGAGGCTTAGTCATGGGAGAATCAATCAAAATGTGAAAAGAAATTTTATGCAGGCTTAAAAATTAAAGATATGCAGACTTAAAAATTAAAGGATATGGCCGAACGTCATTCAAAGAAAGGCTACTGGTAAAAAAATATCCAAGTGGGTTTTCAAGTCTCTGGGAAAGCAGAAGAGTCTCTGGGCAGAATGATTCCACCCTGCTTTCTAACACACCTCCCAGTTTTGGTAAGGGATGAGCCAACTGAAAGAGAACTTGCAACAAATCAAAAGTTAGCAAATTATTATTTAAAAAAAAGGTGAAAGGGGAACACTTGGAGAGTTTATTTGGGATGGAAAAGCAAGCAAAATTTTCTAAAAATGAGAAGGGCAATGAAGGAAACATCCAGACTGAAAGCATCCAGTAGTTTTTATAAACTTTACAAACAGGAGTGAATGTGAATGCTGTATGGGAAAAAAATTTTCAAAGCAATACTCAATATCAGAATTAAGTGTTAAAAAAAGAAAAGATGTAAAATGTAGAAATATATCATGGAAGAGAAAGATTTCTCAATTTGTGTTTAAATAGAGAAACAGAAATGGCAGTATTCATAGGAGTTTTTTTTAAAAAGTAATTGAGAGTAGGACACAGAGGCAGCAAAAGTTCCCCTACGAAGCTGGAACTGAGCACATGCAAAGCAGAAACAATGAAGCCAAAATTCACTGGCTCATGCACATGGAAGAGAGGAGTATGGTATAATAGAAAAAGCCATAAACCAACAATCTGGGGTCTAGCTCCCATCAGTAACAGCATTCCTCTAAGTAAGTAACAACTTCCTATCTTCAACTTATTTCCAGACTGGTCTGTGGTTCTCGACTGGATCCGTAGTTCTCAACCCTGGCTGCAATTACAATGTCCAAATAGCCACGCCTCATCTCTACCAGGCCATCTGGCACAAAATCTCTGGAGGAGGCCCAGGTTTTCCCCACTAGTGCAATTAATACTACTGTGTTATGAGTTCTGAGTACCTCTAGATTACATCAGGAGTTCTCAAAGTGTGGGACCTGGAGCAACAGCAATAATATCACCTAAGAACATCCTAGAAATGCAAATCTTAAGACCCACTGAAGACCTACTGCATCAGAGACTCTGGAGATGGTGTAGACATCTGTACTAAAATGTGAACTAAAATGTGACTACTTAGATTTACGCTCACTACAGTCCTTTGCAATTCTAACATTGTATAGTCAGTTGAGGAGGTGAAGCATGTTGGGAAATGTAGTGGTATGTATTTTGGAGCAAAAGCACAATTTTTAGTCTCAGAACTGATCCCAGATAACTAAGATTCATATGCCATAAAGATACAATGAGCATACAGCAGTGAATTTTCCTAAGCAATTCTGGTACCAGAGGCACACATCTTTCTCTTCTCATCATGAACCCTGAATCATGCTTCCCTAAAGACTCAGTCACCCAATCTCAGAGTTGATCTTCAGCAAGAGAGGACACAGTAAGCACAGACTTCATAAAAGCAGCTGAGATGGCTCTGATATTATCCAAATTGCCAATACTCCAGAAGTAATGTAAATCCTAATGAAATATATGAATTTGAATTTTGAAGTATTTCTCCTCTCAAAGGAGTGCTTTGGTATACAGAACCAAATGTTCTTTCAAAATGTTCTCTGCTCTTTGCTTCCTGAATTTGCATCACAGAACAACTGCCATAAACATGCAGTTTTATGGTGTAGGTGACAGTTACATGCTTATCTTAATCAGGTGGTAGATATATAAGAAAAGCTTTTGAGTTTGCAAAAGACTGAAAAATAAGTTTATCCTCTGCATTCTCTAAAACTATTGATAATATAAGGTATAAGATAGTAGGTCTGCCTGAGGAGAGATGACAGAAGTTATCAGACATCTGAACACTAATGAGATCTCAACACCATTGAGACATCAAACATTTACCAAGTATAGTGACCACATACTCACAGTATCTAATAGCTCAATAAATTTGGAGAAGTAATAAAGCCAGCAGGTGCGTGCCATCTGCAGAAACACACAGATGTGAATTATTTTTTTATGAAAGAAAATTTTCTTTTTTAAAATTTTCGCAAAATACATATCACTTAAAATTTACCAACTTAACTATTATAAAGTGTACAGTTTGGGCGTACTAAGGGCATTATATTTTTGAGCAACCATCACTACCATCCACCCAAAGAACTTTTCATCTTATAAAACTGAGACTATTGATTAAATAATCATTCATCTCCTGTCCCCCCAGCTTTTGACAACTACCATTTTGAGTGAATTTGACTATCCAGAGTACTGCCAGGTGGCCTCGGATATGTAGCCTGTATCAGAATTTCCTTCCGTGCTAAAGTTGAATAATATTTCACTGTATGTATTAAAAGACATTTTTTTAAATCCATTTATTTATCGGTGGACATTCGAGTCACCTTCACTTTCTGACTATTATGAATAATGCTGCTATGAACAGTAGTATATAAGTATCTCTTTGAGTACCTACTTTCGATTCTTTCCACTGCTCGATACCCAGCAGTGGAATTACTGAATCATATAGTAATTCTACCTTTAATTTTTTGAGGAATCAGGTAGAAATTTATTTTTAAATTCAGAAAGAATAGCACCATTTTTAAAAAAGCTTTCTTTATGCATACAAGAACTGGGGCAGAGGCCAGAGGTACGGGGGGGAGGGGGTGTGTGAGAGTATTCACCAGAGACGGAGTGAGGAGCATAATAGGTGGCTGTACTGAAATATACTGCTGAGAGGAGCCGCGGGTGGATCAGCAGAGGCTTGGGTCAGAAGTGGTCAGGAAAAGTCTGCCCTGCAATGCGGGTCACCTTCCTGGCCGTAGATCAAACTGGTGTACAGTGGCTGCAGATAGCTTCATAGTGCTGTACTTTAACCCATGCACCACCAGGAAGGGCCCAATCAATTTTTATTTTATAAAAACTACACACCTGATTTTCTTTCTTTCTGGTAATTTTTAGTTTTTCTCTCTCAACACATATAAACTGCTAAGTTAGTCATTTCTCATTCTGAATCCCCAGTCAGTATTACAGAGTCTAAAAGTTTTACTAGTAATTTTGAGGTTTGAGTTTTTCCAAAGGGATACTTACCCTCACAGCTGTAGGTGACTGTGAATAGTCAACAATTTCACATCGAAATGAATAACCTGTACCCCAGCCAGACATCACAAACTGCAAGAGAGTACATGCATATTAAAGAAGGAAGTATTTGTTCAACAACTACAACAAAGATAGTTTTGATAAAGTCTCTTCATTCTTAGCTGAATCAGCAGTCAGCACAGAAGGAAAGGTGGATTAAAGTAATTACAAACTAGGAATTTCCTTGATATTAAAGCAATGAGAATTCATCCATTTTTTAAAAATAAGATGTCCATTTCTTTGGATGTTTATTCTAATATAAGTAGAGCACAAATACTGGATGTGTTTTGCATTTTTAAATAGAAAGTAGTGCAAGTGAATGCCATCTGCCAGTGCAGAAAAAGGATCATTGGTTTATCTTATGTACATCCAAATATGCTATGCTTATGTTTGTGGTTTCTAAGGAGATAACTGAGTCTGAATCAGTCTTTTATGGTAATTTCCAATCTCCCCAGTTAATCAGTAAAAAAATAGGCAAACAAAAACTCCTCAACCTACTCATACAATTGGTTTTATTTTGTCCTTGGTAGATGGGTATAACATGAAGTAACATTCCATGGCTCTTAAAATCAAGATTGACCAAATACAAGACCCAGATATTAGTTTTGCTTTGGATTCAAATGACAAGTAACAGAGGAAAATGTTAACAATAAGAGTGTAATCTGGCAGGCCTTAATTCCAACACACCCACAAAGTGACCTTAGGCTAGTGGTAAAAAGAAAAGGCCTATTGTGATTAAGTTCAAACTGTAATTCAAAGACTATGTTGACATTCTTTCAGTATGATGGTAGATCTTCTTTTAAAACAGTATCTGAAATTGAAAAACTAGGGCTCTGATTCTAAAGTAAATCAAATATTAAATGTTTGATTTAATCTAGGGTTATGATAGTATGATTAGTTCTAATATTGCCAAAAGTGCCAATATCTTAGCTAGAATGTCTTCTTCCTCAGTATGATACTGTTTTCTGTCACTGAAGGATGTTCTAAATTTCTATTTTTCATTACTATTAAAGCTAAAATGATCATTTTTTTTATAATAAACCAGCTTCTCATAAAGCAAAGGTTTATGAGACCTTATCAGATTGTTTTAATGGTGAAAAGAAACAAAGGAGAACAACTGTAGACCAAGGAATTTAAAAACATATCTTCCTTTTCTGAAATGACCTCCTACCTTGAGTCATAAGATAATTTAATCACACTGTTAGTATGTTATGAAATATTGAAAGCATGAGATTGGGGAAGAATGAGACATATTTTAGGAGGGAGAAAGCCATCTTACAACAAAGCAAGTCCAAAAGTTTGCTCAAATGGTACAGGAATGATTATTCTATTTTATAAAATCCTGATCTGTCAGTGAGTATCCTCATATTCTCTGGAGCTCAGACTCACTTCTGACTGATGCAAGTAACACTCAAAGACCACATACTTAACCTGGGATAACTGATTCTCTACTTGAGCTAAGGAGAAGCAGTGTGACTTGGCCGCTTCTGTGGGGTCTTCACTATGCTGTCAGCCTGGCAACACGTAACTAACACATTCAAATTATCACTACAAAATAAAGCAGGTTGGATCCTTGAGTCTTAAGTACTTTCACCTTGCTCATGGGTACCTGAGTTCCCCTCATAGAGCTGTATACCAAATAAAATTCTGCTGCACCCAATGAACCATGAGTTCAGATGTGTGCTGCAGAGGACATGTTCTTTGACTGTCTTTGTTTACAAAGAGAGTGGAACTTAATGCTTTCCTGATAGTAAGTTTAGTATGTTAAGTTTCAATTGACCTGTGGAGCAACTGATGTACATGTCTGTATTTCAGGCCATAAGGAAGAAAGCATAATAACTGGTATGTGACAAGGTAATAAACCTTAAAAAGTGGCATATAAACAACTCAACTAACACAGAATTCTCAAATTTCTAATCTCCTTTTACATTGTAATTGCTAAAATAGGAATCAAAACTAACTGGTTATAATTGGATTCCTTCTGAACTTAAGAAATGTACTCAAGGATACTACAATTAGTGACATGGCACAGTACTTAACAACAGCAGAGCATGAAGGGACCCAAGAGACAACTTGGTCCCATCCTCACCGAGACCCAGTAAGATTAAATGATTTCCTCAACATCAGGTACCTGGTTACTAGCATCATTAGGACTAACTAGCCCCTGGTCTCCTGGCTTCTGGGTCTTTTCTTCTCACTAGTGTAGTCCTCAGCCTTTCTCTGAAAACATTTCAATGACTCCTTTCCTTTCAGTAGTTATACTCCAGAAAGGAGAATAAGCATGATCCATTGGTAATTTTATAAATAAAGTAGAAGAAAAGTAAGTCCAGACTTCAGGATACCTGTAAGGAGTGAAGCCAAAGAATATTTAAGGTGACTTGATTGGGTGGGTACCTGGCCAGACCCAGGTTGGAAGGATTATGTGCAGAAGCTGTGGTGTCAGGAAGTCAGAGGGGCCAAGCTAGGTACCCAGTTATGAGGAAGCATAGGCTACAGTACAGAGGAATTAAGTAGCAAGAAAGAGAAGTAGAGGATGCAGAAACCAGCCAGGATTAAAAGAAAAGCAAGAAATCTCAAAAAAACACTTATAAGCGAGGGTGGCAGAGGCATGTTAATAACAGCGTGGGGAAGAGGGGTAGAGAAAATTCAGGAGTTTATTTTGGGGCCCTGGAAGTTAGCCATCTTGTTTACTGACAACTAAGTGACAGTCTCTTTCATCTACTCCTTAGTATAAGTTTAAGTTCTCTGTCCTCCCAACATCCAGCTAAAACCAAACCAAAATAGTCCACCATCTTATTGCTCATCAAAGCTTGCAGAAACTAGTGTTCTCCACCATGATGTTAACAACTTGTTACAGAGTGAATTTTCATGTCAGAGAGACCTAGGTCCAAATATCAGTCCTTCACTAACTGGTGATGTTCCCTTGAGTAAGTTATTTAGTTTCTCTGAGTAAGAGTTTCCTCAAAACTAACATTTATGGATTCATTCCTAGGCACATAGATTAACTATGGGCAAGTCTTAATGTTACTTTTTTTTCACAACATGTGAGGTTGAGAGTCCCTAACTGATATCTTCTAAAGAGTTCAGTATGTGGTCTTTACATATAATTTCTTTGGGAAATACCTGCTCTCATGAGCTAAGCATCTATAACTGTTTAATTCATAAAGAGTTACTCTTTAGATATTATAGGAGACAGATAAACAGGCAAAATTCCCATTAGGAATATTGAAGACACTTGCCTCATAACACATATACACAGAAAAGAGTACTATGAAAAAATTGTACGTTATCATCGCTTTCTTGAGTTCAAAGGGCTTTCGATTCTCCATAAGCTTTGGTCCTAGGGAAGTGACAAAATATACATAGAGTCCCAGGATGATGGTTTGTGGCAGTGGCGAGGACATGAGAAACCAGTTCTCAACTCTTGGATCTAAGAGAAAAAACAATAACAAGATATAAGTGCACATCCACCTAGCCAAGAGATAACTGACAGCAACCAACATTTCCTTAAACAAGCACCTAGCTCCTGACATTGAACAGTGAACTATGTGAATGAGGATCACTAGTATCTTTGGGAAAGGGGGAGGGAAATCACCAGAATAGTGGTGGTAACAGAGAGTTACCATCTGAAAGCAAAGGGAAAAGGGGGGTAGTGGTTACCAGTTAACAGGATGGAATCAGATGGAGAAACAGCCATGCAGAGAGGCTGCAGCCTTCATTTGAAGGTTATAACCAGTTCAAGAAAATTCTGCAGGTAAGCAGTTAGGGGAATTGACACCCCACCACCACTCTCCTCTCCCTCTCCAATCTCCTGGGGCTCACCATTGGCTGAACCCACCAAGAAACCAGAGGGCGGTGGAGTAAGCCTGTGGCTGTAATCATAATGGTGTAGAGGGGATCTGGAAGGCAGACAATACCCAGTAATGTTCTACATCTGCCTATACTAGTGGAGACATTTTCAAGTTTCTCCAACTATTTTTTTATATGCAGAAATATGTTCATGCTTACTGTTTCATAACTTTCTTCTTTCCCATATACTTCATTTCCACAGAATGGATCACAGAATCATAAATTAAAAGGAGTCTTAGCGATGGGAAACCCGCGGGGATTACAATTGAGATGGAAAAAAAAATGTAGAAAATGAAGTAAAAATAAACTTTTGTAATAAAAAAAAGGAATTTAAAAAAAAAGGAGTCTTAGCATTACCTAAGTAACTAAAGTATGGATTCCAAGTGTCCAAAATGATGCCTAATCAACCTGATATTTTTAGCAAAAAAAATGTATTATTAGCCTTACAACTATGTAAAAAGTTCACCTGATCACTGCCAGTTCCAAGTCAAGAGAAACGGAGCAATTGAAAATTGCAACTGAAGATGAAATGTGATGAATTATATATTCGTAAGTGGTTCAGGCATAATTTTATTTAATCGCTTCATGAAGTCAGAACTTTATTAAGGTAAATAAGTATAGTCAAGTCTTCAAGTGCATCTGATTCAAAATTGAGATTGCTAACTACCATCACTTTTATCAATTTGAAACGAGTCCTTGCGCATTTAAACCACTAGTGATGTTGCATAGGAGCTCAAATTAGACACTCAGATGTATAAAGACCTGGCTGTAGCTAATAAAGATGATTTATCCTGCACGTAAGTGGGCTTCCTTCAAAAATACCAACACATGCCCTCTCTTAAAAAAAATAAATGTGTCAAAAGGCATCTCTAAAGCAGATACACAATATTTTTAGGACTTTAATGTATGATAAAAGAAGTCCCATGAACAAGCAGGAGAGGGAGAGCTTATTCAATAAATGTTGATAAGAAAACTACGAGGGAGAAAAAGTATGTCCCTCACAAGTATGTAACGAGAACAGTATATTTAAATTCTTTCTACAAAGCAAACAAACAATAAATAAAATGTGGAGAAGACTCCTGGGAATGGAGGTTAAACAAATTACTTTTCTATAGGTTTTCTGTCATTCATATTCATAACAAATTGCCAAGATGGGAACTGGTAGTCTTCAGTGTTTTTCAAACTTATTTGGCCACAAACATTGATTTTCTGGTAGAATGCAACTTAACACTTTCTGGAACCCACAATCTGTGAAACACAATTTGGGAAAAATAGCTCTTCATTCATATACATGTATAAATTGAAACATTAAAAATTAGGTAATGATAGGTTTCTGAGATATAGCAAGAAGGTAGAAAATACAGAATTTTGTAAATGGTTAAACAGAAGGAATGAGAAACAGGTGGAAGTTGGGAAAAACACTGGGATCTTTTGTTTATAATGATGCTATAACTAAGACTAGAAATACAAGATGATGCAAGATTGTCAGGGAGACATGGCTTAGGTTTTAGAGCATCTTACATTTGAGATGTCTATAAAACATTCATGTGAAGACCCCCCCCCGCCCCCATAGGCACCTAGATATTCAGGTCTGGAAAGTATCTGTAGATGTTCATTTGGAAGTTATCAACTCATAAAAGATGAAAAATAAAAGTGGTGAAACTGGCTTAGGGACAGTGGGTACAGTAAAGAAACTAAGTGGCCAATGTCAGACTCTTGAGAGCTGAGATTCAAAGGAGGAGTAAAAACAGAGAAACTGTAAAAAAGACTGAGAGGGAATGGCCAGAGAGGTAAAAGGAAAACATCCACCTGAGATACGCAGCACCCAGGGTTAAAGTGGGTTTGACGAAGGAGTCAAAAGTACCATCTGTGTCAGAGAGCAAAAGAAAAATGTGGACGGAAAAGTAGCACTGAATTTAACAAAAGGAAGTCATTGATGCTCTTAGCAGGAACAACTTTAATAAAGTATCATGCACAAAATAAAAACCCAGCAGAAGTTTGCTGACAGACATTCATAAAAAACACAAAGTTCTTAAAATTTAAAAAGTTTTTCTCATATTAAGATTTGTCACAGTTTTTAACTCAGGAAAAGCTACGAAATCAGCTATCTGAGAACACATGAAAGACCTCACTGCTTCCGTTAGTTCCCCTTGCCTGCTTAAATAATGGCAAGTTATGCAGGATATTTTGGAGCCAAGTACAACTAAAACAGGCCTTCCTCCACCCCACCATGCCCCCACTCCACACACACACACAGAGGCCTCGGTAACAAATTGACAGACAATCTGAGACCAAGGTAGTGAATTAGAACTGATCAAACTTTGCTGGACTTCTGTCAGTGGGTCATTCAAAGCTTAAATACATGAACATCATAAGCCATATTAATGTGCTTTTATTTTATCTCCAATGAATTTAAGTCACTTAAAACCAATAGCAAAAGATACCCTCTGAATTACCTTTAAAAGTGACAGTATAACTTTAATTTTTCTTTACAAGCTCTTTAAATATTCCTGTGATTAACAGATACCATGTATATAATTGAAAACTAGATTTTCTGTAAATGCCAGTAAAGAAATTCCTCAGGTAGAAATATATGTTTTTTACTCTGTCATTGACTCAACCAGGGGCAAAAAAAGAGAAAAATCAAATGACATCACCTTTCTGGGCTCCTGCTGGTAGCAACAGAAAGAAAACAAATGAGAAAAAACATGCTGAGCCAGTGCAGGAACCAGAAGGAAATAATTTTAAAACAATTTTTTTTCCTGCAATTTAACGTTTTAAGAACACACTTTTAAAAAATTGTGGGTGACTTTCAAGCTTTAAAAATCTTTTAAAAATTATATATTTGGGCAAAGCAGATTAATTTACTTTTATTTTATTTTTAAGTAAACACTAAAACAAACATCATGCTTTTTAAATCCTAGTTCAGAGAAGTTCTAGAGTCTGTCAGGCTGGGCGCAGATCCTGGTTGGCCTACTGACTAATATGTGACCTTGGGCCTTAACTGTACTGTGCTTCATTCCTTCCCCTATGAATTAGACATAAGACAGCAAGTTTCCATAGAGGATTTAGTAATGGTATGTTGGCAGGTCAGCACAGCCTAAGCACCCAGTAGGCACCCAGTGGGTGCTATTGCTACTGCTCAGGCCTCAATTATATCAGCAAAGCAAAGTCACCTCTGCGGTATTTAAAAATCAAATGGACAAATATTGACTCTGATCCAGCTGAATCCAAATCCTACGTTTTAGATCCCCACCAAACACATTTTGAAAAATGTTGCGGAGGTGAGAGTGATGAGCTGCCTGTGTTAAACACCAGCAGTGGTGGGCTGCTGTCACCTACATGCGGGTCCTCAGCATCTCTCCCAGGTGCAGATGTCCCAGATGGGGTCCACTCAGCTACAGCCTGTCTTCCATGCAATGTCAAATTCACTTTCCAAATATACAACTCTACTCAGATACTCAGCTGAAATAAGTTCTTGAACAAATAAATACAACTCAGAAGCTTTGATGGGATGCTTCTGACTCTGCCAGTGGCTCGTTTTTCCTGCTTTCTCTCTTGGCAACAGTTCCACCTTTCTGAGCAGGGAGCCCATGTCCCTGTGAGGTAGTGGGTCCCCAAGTAAGACATCTACAAGTCAGGTGTGGATAATGACTTGATAAGGAGGTGGAGGAGGGGGCTGCTGTTTGAAATTTAAAAGTTAATTCTGTTCAATGTGTGATCCCACAAAGTGCGAGAAGTTCGGGGCTAAGATGAGCTGTTTTCCCAGAGACAAAATGCTTATGAGGGAAGGGGTGTTTTAGGAACTGGTGTTGGGTTTAAGTGTCATGAGAAGAGATAAGATGAAAGCAGATGACAGAAAGGAAGAATCCACATCCCAGTGATCACTTATTAGTAGCCTAATAATTCATTTGAGAGAGAGAACAAGAGAAGTACAAGTGCCATGTACATAGAATATTAATGAGCTTCTCCACCAACTCCTTGTAAGAGAGTGTTCTCTTCTTAAGTAGCATTTACTATCTTAAAGAGTATACTCTTTAAAATTCCCTACACCAATAAGATGAAAAGCTGAAAGGGAAAGGAAACATGTACTTCTACGACTCTCTCAAGTATTAAAGAAAAGATTCAGAAGGACAGCAATCTTACTAATACCTTATCTTCTTACAAAAAGTCACAACTAAGCTTTGAAAGTTACTATTACTATCTAAATATGAGATAGTTACTTTTTAAATATCAAAAATGCCTTCATTTCTCTATAGTCCAAAAAGCTACTATAGCCATCATTTTAAAATTTGATATTTCATATCTCAAGAGTCATATTAAATCCTCTTATAGTTTATGTATTAATCAAACCACTGAAAAAAAATCTGTAGCTGTGGAAATTCCCACAAGAAATAACTATGCATAACAATCATGTCTCTAGCAATCATAAAGCCAACGAATATCAGTAAATTTCCCTCAGGCTACTCAGGATTAGGGAAAAAGCCAAGTATCACTTGAAATTCTTGGCCTTTGATCATGGATTTAGATGTTCCCAGGGGAAGCAGAGTAAAACTGGAATAAAATGGCCAGAAATGATACTTAATGGTTCTTGGAGATCAATACCACACTAAGCAAAAGCAAAAATTCTCTTATTATACCTGATAGTATTCTCATTAAGTTAATTCTCGAGGTAAAACATGTAAACCTATCAAGATCCCAATGAGAAAGAAAGTTAAGAAACAATTTTAAAAAGCATTATACTATACTAAAGTATCTTACAATGAAAATGTTTTATCATCTGTAATAAATACTACCACCATGTGTTTTGAGATACTGCCCGATAAGAGGGTACTTTCATGCATATTATCTGATACTGATAGGTACTATTCTCATCACTGTCTTGCTTGCAGAGAAACTAAGACTCAGAGGTGATAAATAATTTGTACAATATCAGCTTGTTAATGCCCAATAGTGGAGAATTTTTCACTACATAGCCCCCAAAGACTTCAAATTAGCCTAACTTCAGCTACTGACTTCTCCTCATCCTCTCTGAACTATGTATTTGCAATACAATTCCCAGGGTTCTCCTTGCTGATTCCTTTATCACCTCCAGCCCTTGTTATTCCTGTTTCTGACCTACTGTTATTCATCTTTTCAATATAAGTATACCTAACAAAAAGTAGATGATCCATGGATAAAAGTGCAAGTAAATTCTGAAGTGTCCATTTAAAAACAATTCTGGTAATAAATTCATTACTATTGAACTCTATTTGGTTCTTGAATTAGGATATTGATTACCTGAGTCTCTTGGGTTCCTGCATTAGGAATGGCAAATAGCAAGAATTGGACAGCAAATGATATATTCTGACAAATCAGTGTATTTAAAAAAATCACAAATGGCAAGAGTTTAGGCACATGATCTGGCTATGATGAAAAGCATTAAAATAAAGCCTCCTTGATGGCATAGGGGTTAAAATATCATCACTATCAAGCTGTCACCAGCCAGCACAGCATGAGTTTGATCCTGGGCCAGGGAACTGATCCACATGGTGCAGTAGACCTCTCCTATCTCGTCATATGGTACAACAGATCCTCTCTTACTCACTGGTCCCCTCAACAGTATATTTTAGTAGATTCTCCTGTTCTGCTCCCCACTCTGTCTCTGGTGAATCTTCTCACTCCACCCCTCTATCACTGACCTATATTCTAGTTTTTGTATTCATAAATAAACAAAATAAATCTTTAAAAAAGGTATGGAGACACATAGATAAGTAAATAGAGATTACCTATAACCCCTCCACACAATGATAACTACAAACTCTCATAAAATAAATGTATGTGATGTTTTATAACCTGCTTCATTTAACATAGTTTAAACTTATTGCCAAGTCATTAAACATTCTTCTCTTGATGTTGATTTTTTTTTTTTAATGGACAGGGGGAAAAGACAAGCATTTCAGAATCATGCAAGGGTTATACTAGGAAACACTCCCAGCCCTTCTTGATTCAGCCCTAAGGTGTGGCCCCTCCCTTTCAAGAATCATCAGGGCCAGAATCATTGTTGGCTCATTTCACCTTAGGAGCATTAGGACAGAATCAAGCCTGAGTGCACTGAATCACTTTTAATAGCTACTGACTTAGAACGTACCATCATTTATTAACCAACTCCCTTCACTGGATATTAAAACTCTTTCACTGTTATAAACATTGTAATGGACATCTGTGTAGCTCTTTGTATATATCTGAAATGAAAACTTTGACACTTTCTCTTGGTTAATTAGTAATAAAAATCAATATTTGGGAGTATCTATCATGGAGTGTGTTGTATTGCAATATGTCTCAATGAAATCTTATTAAATATGGGAACCTAATATCAAAAGGAAGGATGAGCCTCAATTAGGAAATTTGGTTACTTACCAGCATCTTTGATCCAATTATCGTAAAGACGCACAGTTCTGGATGTAAGATCACTGAAGGCCATTTTTCACTGGATTTAGTGGCTCTTGCAATGGATTCTTCAGCAAAACAAACAAAACAAAAAGGAGTGCAGTTGTGATCTATAAATGCAAATAAAGCCAAGTTTCTAGTAATACAATATTAAAATTGCTAAAAATTTAATAAGAATAACTGGCAAAACAACAAAATTTTATCCTGGATAAATGCATTAGTGAACCACATTAAACCCTGATGTAGCTGCAAGTATTTAGATTCTTCATCATTGAGAACACTGTTTACTTTGCTGAAAAGAGATGACATCCTATACATGAGATACAAAAGGAGTAAAGGACTGTGAGAGCTTTCAAAGGAGCATTTCTCTCTTATGGGAACGAGATAGATCAGGAATGAACTCCCATGGCAACCCAGGAGAAGAAGAAAGTCAAGTAGATACACAAACTTTAAAAGAAACTACTCTGATTTAAGACTTAAAACTGATCTTCAGGCCTAAAAAGGTCTTCCCTATGCAAGTCTATAATTTAAGGGGAAAAGAGGTAAAAGGAGGGAGAGGAAGAACACCTACTATGAGCATAGGAGAAGCTACCTAATTTATTTGAATAGAGATGAGTTATGAAGGGGAAAAAAACCTTATGATAGAGGAGACCAGGGAGGAAAAGCAAGCTCATTACCTATGTAAATAGGTATGAATCTTTAATTATTAATCTGAATCTTTAATAATTAAAACATCATGACAATAGCACATGAGAAGACACAGAACAGACTAGAACAACTAGAAATACACTAGACACCTCTGAGAATTAAGAGCTGTATTTTATGAAGTCTAAGATGTACATTTCATACATTTTAACATCTCTGATATCAGCATATACCTTACAGATGGATGGTATATCATTAAACAAATGATGTATTTGATTCAAAGTCACATAGTAAAACCATGAACTAGTTCGGGAGGGGGATGGTGGTGATGTCTGCACAAGTTAAATGCACTTACTGCCACTGAACCATACACTTAGATATGGCTAAAATGGAAAATTTTGGCGATGTATATTTTCACAGAATAAAAAAAAATTTATAGGTTTGCATAGAAACATTTAAAGCTTCTTCTAGCATTCTACAATAAAGCCATGTCAGAATATCAACCTATTTTGAAGACATTTGGCACATGACGAAGCTGTTATCTCAGTTCACTGGACACTGAATTACCTACAGTCATTCACTGAGGTGGTACAACAGGTACTATATGTGGTGCAGCTGTGGCAACCATCTGAAAAAAAGTTTGGGTTCAAACACTCTACCAGTCAGTATAAACTCTAAATAGACCAAGGATTTATATAAGATAAATAAAATCATGAAAGTATGAGATGAAAACTTGGGAAAATACCTTTCTAGTGCTAGAATGGGAAAGGCCTTTCTGATGTTGACTTAAAAAAATACCACACATATGAGAAAACTAAAAAATTAGGCATGTGAAAATAAAAAAGAAAAAAGTACAAAACCATTAAGACAAACAGGAAAAAAATATGTTCAATTCATATCACAGATAAAAAGTGCTACTCTCTCTTATACATAGAGTTCCTAGAAATTGATAAGAAAAATAACTGTAAGCCAAGAAAAAATGGATAAATTAAATTTAAAATGAAACAAAGACTCTTAATTATATGAAAAACTGATTAAGTTTAATCACAGTAAGAAAACTACAAAATTATACAACATTGTATGGACCAAAGTCCCAACATTTTTATCAACCAAATTAAATGAAAACCCAAAAATGTATAAACTCTGTTGGCAGGAATGTGGGGAGTTCATGCCTTTCTGGTAATAGTGTGAATTAGTATAACACTTAATAAGGGCAATATGGCATCAGTAAAAAAAATACATATTTTTTTTAACCCAGCAATCCTACTTCTAGAAACTTCTATAGACATCTATGTACATATGCAGAATGATGACACACACATACATTTTTACTATTATTTCATATGGACACTTTCTGCTAGACATAAAGATGGGAAACACCTTATTCTATTTGGGGAAGGTGCAGAGATATCTTCTAGTTAAAAGCAGAACTGAGACCTTAACTGGTTTGAAACACTCTAAAAGTACAGGATGGAGATGCCAGAAAGTCATAGTTCTCAGAAGCAGAAACATTGAAAAGTCAAAAACATTAGCCAATTCAAATCTCTACTCCTTCATTAAGGGGTGCAGAGATGAAGGAAACGCTATAAGGAAAGAAAAAATATGGCTACTTGTCAGAGCTCAACCTGCCTCCAAAGGCCACAGAAATAAGTAACTGGATTAAACAGGAGTTTGTTCATGGGGGCCTGGGGCTGGTGTTTCATTGCCCAGCACCTGTACCAACCTATGAATTCTGCTCTTTGTGTCATTGAGTGATTGAGTCATTTGGTAAAGAAGCGACTTAACCTTCCTGGATTAGCTTCTTTAGGCCTAAAGTAAAACATCAACTTTAACTGTGAGAAATGTGCCTGCTGCACTGAGAAGGCCTTTTTCACAGGGCAACTTATCTAAGACTCTTAAAAGCATAGGATGCTTCTGTCAGCACAAAGTAGCTACTGTACCAGAACACAGGGAGTGTGCCTGAGGGGCCTGATTGCTTTGTCCATTCTGCTCAAATCGACCTCAACATTAACCAGAAGGCAGGCTCATCTGGGAGTGCTTCCTGCTGGAATCACTTAGATGGTGAAAGACTGTGATAAGAAGTACCTGGCAGGAGTTCAGAAAACTAGACCCAGGTGGACACTCAGATGTGGAGATCTATCTAAACCTTACATAATATGCCAGGGACACTGTCCCTGGAGGACAGGAGTGGCAGAGTCAGCATATGGATTCCTAGAGCTGGTCGATGGCCAGGTCAGGGCTCTGTGGTTTTCCATTTCTGTGACCGTTCAAGCGGTTCTGGGCTCTCCATTGATCTCTTTTCTTTGGAAAATCAGACTTCGGGAACAAACTTGTAAAAATAGATCTGTCTTATCACAGGTGCTGCTCAGACACACAACAAATGAAGTGAACAAGAGAAGACACCAGCATAGGGAAGGGGTCTAGGAGCAGTAAAGGCTTCAGAGGAAGAACCGAACAGCTGGCTTTCCTGTAGAAAGTCATGGCCTCCTATGGGAGGGTTGTTTGAAATTGTCTTCTTGTGCACAGCAAGGGAGGAAGGAAGGACAGTGTAAACCAAGCTATTTCATAGAAATAGTAATTGCTCATTGGCCACCTGGTAAGGGAGACACACCTTCCAGTGCAGACGATACAGCAAGGGAAGAGAGCATGGCCAGCTTGATGGAAAAGAGAGAGACATGAACTGCATTCATTAGAAAGGATTAGTGAAGCTCAGCAGAGGGTCGGGATGGGGTGGTGGGACCACAGCTGTGGGCTGCAAAGAACTTCCCCAGGACAGCATGGCAGCCAGTCTCTCTTTGGGGTTATAACTCTATAAACCCAAGGTACACATGAAGTCTCCCCAGTTGCCATTTAGGGGTTTTAAAAATCCTAGGATAAGAATTCAAAAGATTCAAAGACTGCTAGGGAAGCTTCCACCTAGATACTAACCCATGTGTTTCCTGTGTATTCCCCTCCCCATCTGTTTTCTAACAGTTGCCAGTTCCCCTTACCCCTACCCTCTGCCTCTTTGTAGTTTAGCAGCCTCAAAGAGGCTGTGGGTCTGAGTGCTGGATAGAAAGACCTGGGTATGTGACTTTTATCTGTTTCTATAATTTAGAAAGACTGAGGCTGAAGAAGGGAATCAGAAACTTTTTTTTTAAGATTTATGAGGGGAGCAGCGGGCGGGTCAGGAGAGGTCTGCCACACCATGTGGGTCACCTCCAGGGCAGGCAGGAATCGAATTCATGCTGAAGTGGCTTTAACTTGTTAGTGCTGTGCTTTAACCCGCGGCACTACCAGGGAGGGCCCCGGTAATCAGAAACGTTTAAGTATAGTAAAATGCTTGTAATGTCTCTAGAGTACTGTTTGTTTAAACCCAGAATTTATTCATCTTAACAGTATCAACATTTTAGGCCAGATAATTCTTAGATGTTGGACTTTCCCTTATCATGCCCAACTTTTTTTTTTTTGCTACTTCATTTAATAAGTAGGCCTTGCAAATTACCTCAAAAATGAAATAGAATAGTAGAAGTTCAAAAGCAAAGTTTTAGGCTGGCTTTTGAGTTACAAAACCTTAGGCACTTATCCATTACAGAAGAACTCAAGGGCACAGACAAGAGATCTGATGTTTCCATGCCTTCTAGCACAGAACTAGTGCTAGGTTTGGGGAGGTGAAAGTCCAAGGGAAAGCAATTAGTGTGGATCTCAGAGAGGAGGCAAGTAAGCCCTGGCGAGGTGCCAGATAGGATTATGGGAACAGAGTGCACAAGGGGTCAGGCTCTGTTGCCAGGTAGAGTTGAAGCATGTGACTGGTGGTGTCTGCAGCAACCATAGAGAATTTTCTTTGTTCCAGCCTTGTATAAGAGCAGTAGGTCCTAAGGACGCTGCACAGGCTTGGAAGATGAGGAGCTGCAGAAAATGCAGTCTTCCCTAGCAATACTGTAGACTTACAGGGACAAGTGGCCAAAGGCCTGATAGGACTCTGGATTATCTAGGGGGGTGGCACTCTAGACAGAGGACATCAGGACAAAAGGCTGCCTCTTCCCAATTAACTTGATATTACATAAGCTTTTTCTAACTTGCTGAGAGGGAGTTGACTGAAAGAGGTCGCTACCACCCCAAAGGATAACGAAAAAGAGTTGGAACAAGCTGACAGATAAAGATGTAGTATATATATGCACAATAAAATATTACTGAACTGTCAAAAGTGAAATTCTACAATTTCATACAACATGGATAGACCTAGAGGGTATGATGCCTAGTAAAATAATTCAGACAAAGAAACATCATATAATTTCACTCATATGTGGTAAACAGAGAAACTTAACAAATGGATGAATTAAGGAAAACAAAAATAAACTTTTAGATTATAAGACAAATCTCTGTTCCAGAAGGGAAATGCAATAAAGTGGGTAAATCAGATAAAAGAGGTCAGTTGTATAGTAAAGAACAGACTTGAGCTTTTAGTGTTGAACTTAATGTAATATAGACAGATGCTTACTTTTTAATGATGCAACCTCACACTCATAATACAATGTTACTTCAATTAAAAAGATGATTTTTAAAAAAGCTATAAATAAATAAAATTTTGTTCTGATATAGTTGATTTTAGCAAGTAAGATCTGAAACCACTTACTTTAGTTAGGGGATCAGGTCAGTACAATTTTCCTCTCTTTTTATATCCTTATATCAGTGGTTGCCAGTGCTGGTTGATAATTAGAATTACCTGGAGAGAAATTTGGCTTCAGTTAGTAGGTGTGGGGAGATTCTGTTGATGGACCAACCTTGGGAACCTCTCCTTAATGCCACATAATTCATTCTCAGCCATGACAACTTCCACAACCTGAAGAATAGGCATACTTTTTTTTAACAAAGGATTCAGTTAGTGACTGGCACTCTTCAGTTAATGATCAGGCATGGGTTAAGAAGAGCAGAAACAGGAAATGAGATCAATACTAGCAGAAATTTCTGTAGTGATTCAAAACAACTTGCAAGAGCTGTAAAATCTGGGAGCAGATCTGAAGAGTCAGCACATACACCTAAGGTGTAAAGAAACTAGCATCTTAATTTCAAGGGAAAAATAAACATGAAGTTCTCAAACATCTGTGAAAGAGAAGATCATTGTTACATGTTAGGCTTTAGTAAATTAAAGAAAACATAAGCCTGGTCTTTTAGGAAAGCAAGACGGATCATGACAAAGATACTAGGACTTCCTAATTTTCATATAATAATGTTGCATTATTAGGAAAGATGCTTTCCTTGGCAAATAACAGAGCACTCCACATACCTTAAGTAGTAAGGGAAACCTTAGCTCATAGAAAAAAAGAAGTCCAATGGGAAGGAAATTTTTTCTGGGTTGGTTAATTTCTGGTTTGTCATTTCTGGAGGAGAATGAAGGTGGCAGTCATTCCCCCCAAAATTCACAGTCATTTAGGAAAACACATTGCTTCAGGGAGAAAGAAAGAGAGTGAAATAAGGGAGAAGAGTAGTTGGCCCTCTAGAAAGAAATGATGTCTGCCCGACTATGACCTGAGATGACCCTGCAGTGACAGTCCAAATAACTAAACTTCTACCAGCCTGAGTCCAAACATCTAAGAGCCTCTGCTTGTCCTAGTGATATGTGTTCAGGATAAATCAGTATTTATTTTTTTGTTTTAAACATGCTTGCAGCACCATATAAGACTCTCTACTGATTTTTATATATTTGCACTGTACAATTATTTTGTGCCAGTTTTTTTGATGATACAGGTAACATACGATAAATCTATAAACAGAGAGCATAGGGTTATAATTTGTTACACCACTTCTATGAAATTATGTAGTATGTTTAAATAAAATGGGTGTTTTGCCATCCCCCAAAACAATGACCATGACATAGTGACATTCTCTTGATATGAAAACACTCAGGTCTCCCCTTCAATCAACTTTTAAAGTTGTAATTTTCATGTCAAGCAGGACCTGAAAACAAGTATCTCTCATTCCCTCCATTCCATTATCATTCCATTACCCCATCTTGAGTTTTTAAACTTTTTTCCCCTTAATTGAGGAATTTATTAAAATTAGATGCCTCTGAAAAAATATGACACTCTATATGCATGACCTATCAGACTGAGTCAGATTGCATTTCTTTGGCTTAAGCTCTGCAGCTTAATCATGATCATGAGTTTGAGCAAAGAGGCAGACAAACTTCAGTTTAGATGTTTATTTGACTATATTAATATATTAACATGACAACTTGTTAGAAATGAAGGAGTAGTAGAAATCACTCGTATTAGTGACACTAGGAAATACAATTCCTGTAAAGCCTTAAGCATAATGCTAAATGTGCTATTTATTGTGCTCACTAATACTCTAGATGTAAGAGAGGGCCTTTTAGCTTAAGTAGAGCAATGGGCAGCTTTGGTCCCAATCCAGCATTCTATAATTGGAGAGGTAAGACAAATTAGAGAAAAGTCAAAGAACCCTGAGGGTAAAGAATGAAGCTTTTCAAATCACCAACAGCTGTAAAACTCAGTGCCAGGCAGTAGGAAATAGGAGTTTGAAGACCAGGCCCTACCTAGAGGCAACCTCAATACCTATAAAGATTCAGAGAATAGTAACTCTGAGAACAGAAATGTAACCAAAAACCTGTACATATGATAGTGAACACCAGGACATGTTTTCTGTCAGAAGAAATGACTTAATATCAATTTATAATCTAAGCTTAGTACAATGCCTTAAGTAAAACAGATGTTTAATAAATATATGCTGAGGGAATTTTTAAATGTTGTAAACAAAAACCAAACAAACAACAAAAGGACAAAAAACAAGACAAGGAGGCCAAATTAGTTATCTGTTTAATCATCTCTTAGCTTTCTTTGCCACTTTTTTTCCCCCAATGAAAGCAATATTGTCATTCATTTTTTAAGTAAAAAGTATTTTTGGCATCTATAATTGTATAAAAAAGTGCCAAATGGAACACAATATGATTGTTTAAATTGTCTTTGAATTAAAAAAAAAAATCAACTTGGCAGAAAAAAATAAATGCCTAAACAGACACCTAACACACAGGATATTAAAGCCTTTAAAATTTTGAAAGTTCACATCCAGCAAGTACGATCCAGAGGAAAGTCATAATGGAGGAGAGGATGCATGAGCATAGCACCAAGAATTAAGATTTCAATAGGCCAAAGCGTGTGCAACTGGGAGAGAAGCGAGGTATGCTTTGCAAGTGGAGGGACCTACCAGGAATAATTCATTCACTGGTATATTTAACCAATTATTCTTAAGTATACTTTTATGCCAACCTCTGTTTGGTGCAGTGCTATATTGGGAAACTACAAAATTCTGCCTTCATAAATTCTAGAAAGATTCCAGAATGTGTTAGTCCATTTGGTAATGCACAGGATTAACAAGGAGAACAATAGAAAGCTCAAGACAGGAGAGTTTGATTCCAGTGTTGGTATTAAATTATGGGTGAACTGAAAACCAGGTTAAAGAATATTTTTGGACTTAGTTCTGTTGATAATGAAGTGTCATGATAGGTTTCACAACCAGGGAGTGTCTTGATAAAGTGGTACATCGAAAGATTAACTGGGTGGTAGAGTCCAGGGCTAGGTGACCATGGGTGTGGCTTAGAAGCAGGGAGAACAATTATGCAACTATTGCATCCTATTGGGAAGGATCCAGCATAAGCAGCACTTCCTCTGAGATATCATCCCTGATTCAATCAGCCATGAACACCAAGGTGTTCTTATAATAATGTTTCATCTATGATGGCATTAATTGCATGTATTATACATTTCTGTTTATACATTCCTATCTTCCCACTCATCAGAGGAAAAAAAACTGTGCCTCATTATCTTTGAGTTCCCAGTGCCTACACTAGTGTCTGGCATAGCAGAAAACATCTGTGGTGTGAATGGATAATCAAGTATTGTGGACTGAATTGCATTCCTTCAAAATTCATAGGTTGAAGTCTGATTCCTAGTACCTCAGAATGTGGTCTTATTTAGAGATAGGGTCTTGCCAGAGGACTTTATGTTAAAATGAGGTCATTAGGATGGACACTAATATGACTGGTATCCATAAAAAAAGAAAAAACTTGGAGACAGATATACAAGTAAGAAGAATGCAGTAAGAATACAGATAAACTTCTACAAGCCAAAGACAAGCATGGAACAGATCCTTTTCTTAGAACCCTCAGAAGAAAACCACCTCTGCCAACCTCTTCATTTGAGCCTGTAGCTTCCAGAACTGTGAGTCAATACATTTCTGTTGTTTAAACTACCCAGTGTGGAACCTTGTTACAGTAGGACTAGCAAACTAATATAAGTGAAAACATTCAAACAACTTGGAGAAACACCCAGAGTGAGATTTCAAGATTAAGGTCTCCATTCACTATAAATAAAAAAAGATAATAACATGGGAACAGAATAAATTTCTGAAAAACCTGTGATAAGGAATATATGAAAAAACAGTGAGGGAAAGTATCTCAGGCAATACCCACACTTAGGAATTAGGAAGAGAGGTCAGTGACAAATGTAAAGGTGCAACAGTTAGAAAGTCACAAAATAAAACTGTGTGGTAGAATCTCCCTCCAAATACTGAAAAAAAGTAAACCAAATGGTCAAAAAAAATGTCTACAAAAGTTATACAGAAACAACCATATAAACATTAAACATCAAAAGTCACAGCTCTAGAAAAGACTTTGGAGCAAGGATACTCAGAATATGGGAAGAACTCCTACCCTAACATGGCTTCACAGCTCAGCCAACGATGCAAGAGATTTCCGGTAAGGACTAATAGCCCTCCTCCAGCTGGGACTAGAGCAACAGGACAGGCTCTCAACATGGAGGTATTATCCTTAACTGGTGAACAGATAAAGAGAATCTAGAGCTGTCCCTTGGGAATGGACAGAGCTGTGTGGTAGAAGGATTCTTAGTACAAAAATTAACATGTTAAAAGTGAGAATAAGACCAGAAACAACTTGCATTTTCCCTTTACCTATCCTCAACCTATGAAAAGAACATAGTATAAACTCAAATTCTCAGCCCTCAAACTGAAGCTGAGTGAAGAAAAACAAACTAGGCTCAAAAATACCCTGGCAAAGAGTACCCACCCAATGTCACAGCAAATACAGCCGTGATCAGAGGTGCTCACATGGTCGTAAAATGAAAAAAGTTGACTAGAAAATTTCACTAAGAGATTAATCTTTTTAAGTCTGAAACAAGAAAACTACATAGAAAACAAATTAATGAAGGGGGAAAATGTAACTTAAATACCAAAAGAAAATTCTTCACAAGTACTCTGAGTTAAAAACATGTAGTCATGATTTTTAAGAAATGAAATGGAACTGGACACTGTAGAGCTAAGAACATAAATTGAGGACCAAAGCCACATTATACCCCTAATAAATAAATAAGAAACAAAACAATCATGCTAAACAATGAATTACTAATATAGAAAAGGTTGAAGCAAAATAAAAACAACAAAAGTTAAAACAACAGAGAAAAGGCTAAAGATGAACCAATTTAATAACTGATACTTTTAAAATATAGAATTCAACAAAGAAAAAGTAGTAATATTTAAATAAAATAAAGTCTACTGACTTTACAAATTGAAAAACTAGATTATAAGAAAAGTTGATGCATAATAATTAATAAAAACATATTCTAGGGCCCTCCCTGGTGGTGCAGCGGGTTAAAGCACAACACTAAGAAGCTAAAGCCATTTCAGCATGAGTTC